TAAATTTAGATGACATATTCTTATCATGCAAGCCATTGGATATGAGCCTCCTTTTCATCCATCATTCTTTCTACGATGTATAACTTCATGTATCTATCTCTCTATATACATTCATAAAATAATTTTTAAAAAAGAATGACTTGAAATTTTATTACGGAACTATATACACTTTCTTTTGGTTCGGTTATGTGTGAGACTATTCCATCATCAATTGACTTTATGTTGTATCACCAAAATCACCGTGAATGTCATGCGTAACAAGCACATTCTTACCTTTAATTCAAATGTGACTATGTCATATCAACCTTAGAATTTTGGTTACTATTATCAAACTTATGATGTATTTCAATAAAAATATAAACTCGATGAATTAAGAAAATATACCAGAAAATCCAATGAATATTAACCTACCAGAATTAACAAATCAACTACAGAGCTACTCCCAATCTTACAAGAATATTAACCTACAAGAATTAACAAATCCTACAGCTACTCCATTAATTATCGTATTCAAATCCTAAATATTAGAACACTACGATAAAAGAAAGACTATTTTAATCCTTTAATTTGCAATCGCACAAACCATGTCAAGATAGGATTAGGAATCTACTAATCAATTTCTATTATTGAGTCTTTTAACGAGGACAAAAAGGTCAATGAACGCTTTTACACCTTGTTGGATGGTTGTTACCCGTTGTGTTGTATTGTATTATATTGTATTGTTAGGTCAAATGCAATGTTTGTTTCGATTGTCACTTAAATTATCATGTATCCTATTGTTTAAATTCATCTTTAGATAATGACGAAAAGACTCATTTTAATTTATATAACGACCGATTTGGTGTGATTGCATAGTTATCTTAATATTTTCTTATTTTATTTTTATTTATTATTTATTAATAATCATATTTCATCTTTTTATCCTACATTTTCATAGTAGCTCTACCTCGTACCCTACTTTATTGTAGGTTTATCATTTAAATTATGGATGTGTGACATTATGTAACGACGCAGAACGATACAATCTATCCAAATATTGTATTCATTAAAACAATCGAATTTTGTGCAAATAGATGATTGGAAAGACATTAAAAGAAAAGGGCAAAGGTTGGTGGATATGGTGTGATGTGGTGTGGTGGAGATGAAGGTGGACTGAAGGAGATGAACCATTTGGGAACAGTGAAGGAAAAAGAAGAAAGAAGATTTAGGAAGAAGGAGAATGACAATGAGATTTGATAATGGTGATTAGGACAAGAATGGTGGAGAAAAATTGGAATGATTATTTTTCTTTTTTTTTTTAATTCTGAAAAAAATAGGCGTGTGTATTACACTAGGCAACAAAGATTTGAGATACATATCTTTGGATATAACGCATTTACTTACCATATATTTGAGATACATATTTTTGGATATAACGTATGAAATTAATATTTGATACATCAATTTAATACTAGATAACAAGAAGTTAATACTAGATACATACAACAAATACATTAAATTAATATTAATTAGATACTTCTATGATACATATGAACGTACTTATGCGCCCATGTATCATAGTCTATTTGTTAATGTGGAATAAGAGATTAATATGTTTTCATGATACGTCTGATTGTATGTATTTGTGTCCATCTGATCAAAGTCCATCAACTTTTTTTTATGTATCTAAGAGGTTAGTAGTGCTAATGATACATATAAATGTGTATGTGCATTGTACACTCATGCATCTAAATGTTTAATTTGTTATATATATCATATATTAATAATAGATACATCAAATTAATAAAATTATTATTTTAAAATTAATAAAATGAAACTAATCAAATTACATAACCAAAATATGCATGTTTTGGTCTTTTATTAATAATATTAATGATTTTATTATTTAAAAGAGTAATAGAATGAAGTTAATTAAACATAGATGCACTCCTCGATTTCTGCCTTATATTAAGGGATTTGATTAATTTAAATTTTAAAATTAATTGTTTATATATTCTGAAAATTCTCAGTTACTCCTTTAATAAGGAAATAAGTTACAAACATTTAATTCAAACAAAGAAAACATGTATCTCGATTCTTAAAACTATCGGATACATGTATTTGATGAGTAAAATGATACATATATATATCCAAAGGAAGAAATATGGTACAATAAGTAATATTTGAAACTATCGTGAATTATAGTAATTATGACCTAAACTAGTGGGATTTATGTAGTTTACCCTTATTTTTATCTATTGTTTGATTTGATACATTAAAAATAACATGCATTGCATAAAAAAATATTTATAAAGATACCCTTCACTATTATGGTGGAAAATATGTAAAAAAGGTTTTGAGGGGCAATTGGATCTTTAATCATGCTAATGCATGCATTAAAATCAATGCATTGCTAATACCTAAAAATCTATGGTATTAACAATACACACCTTAACACTGAATAGAGTGTATAACTAATGCATAGAATAGAAAAGAGTACCAAACAAAGTACTAGTAATACACAAGGCTAATGCATGCATTATTTTTCCTAATATAATCTACCAAACTGGTAAACATATAGTTAAAGGACCAAACCTAATAAGTTTTTGAATAGTTTTAGAACTAAATTGTAACACCTCAGATTTGAAAAGATGAAAAATTACAACTTTTTCTAGATTTGGTGCCAATACCGACGGAACCACAGACGGTCTGTGGACTATCATACGGGCCATAGGTGGGGCCGCGGGTGGTGAGTTCAAAAATTCCTAAAAATGTCAAGTCTCGGTACTTTTATATGGTTCACCAGGATGATCCGTCATCCAATGTACAAGTTGTAGATAGATCTTGTAGGTGAGTCTCAGACTTAGAGATATTTTAAGAAATTTCAGTTGGACCCACAGAGGCCATGTACGAACGATAGCTTGACCCATGGACCGTGCATATTGAGTCCCGTCAGTCGAGGGTCCAAGAAACAAGTTTCTGAACCCATGGACGTTCGATCAGGACGGTCTGTAGGTGGGCCCACAGACTGTAGGTCCCCACCGTCGATGGAGGTCGACGATTATTCTTAGAAGGGCTTCTTGGTCTTTTCCCTAATTGTTATAACCCAATACTATGTCATTTTACCCTTTACTCAAAGCCTTATATACTGATTTTTAACCCTCAAAACACCCAATTCAATTCATTCTCCTAAAATTCTCAAAAAGTTGAACAAGTCATCCTCTCAAAAATTCTCTCTCTAAGAGAGAAGAAGAAGACTAGGGTTCTTTAAGTTCAAGTCTCCTTTCTTCATCATTGCTTGAGGCTTCAATCAAGGTATGTAGGGAGTTCATCAATGGGTTTCATTCACCTATTGATTTCCCAAAGTTTCGTCAATTCTACAATTCAATTTCTCAAGATTTAATTAGATTTTCACTAAATTCCTCATGGGTTCTATTTGTATGAATTCAATTGCTTTATTATGATCTTATTTATTTTTTTATGATTTGGATTTAATTTCATGCTTTTCAACCAACTCCATGTGAACCAATGCATTGATCTATGAATTTTGACCATGAACCATAATTTACATGAATTATGAAGAAGCTTGAATCTATATTATTTTATGAAATTATGCATGGTTTTATGAAAGTAATTGTTATGACTCAAGTAAGCTTATAGATAAAGGTATCTATATGTTCAATGAATCTTGGCCACATGACATGAATGGCATCTAGATTTGCCCACAATGCTTCTCGGGCTATTTTCCTAAATTAAGTCTTGATTAGTATGGTATTCGGATATGCCATCAATGATTATAGATCACGTTTTCAAAACTATTTCCATTAGTAGTAGGACATCTCTAGCATGAAGTGAATGACTATGGGCCTTAAAAGCTATTATGAAAAGATCATGGATGGTGAAAGGTTTTCTCACGCATGGTCTAAGGAGCTATCCTATGATAAGACAAGAGGCGAATACCCATGTCCCATAATAATAAGATGAGTTAAGAATAATGACTATTCCGTGGGATTTATACTTAGCACTGAGTGGACAAGTGGCGATTACCCATGTCCCATAAATTATGTGCCACCATAGAATGATTGTCTTAGATAAACATTAGCTAGTGGATCCACGTAAGCTAGAAGTTCATGGTCCTTACCTTGACAAGTAGGACACCCCTTTTCGATGTGGGGCAGACACTAAATTCCATGTTATAGCTCGCATGGTCTATATGTCGATTAACAGTAAACTTCCCACAAAAAGAACTAAGTTGATTTCTAATGTTCCATGAAGCTTCCTTTATGATTTAAGATGCATTGACCATGTTCATGATTTATGAATCTCCTTAAATGATTTTTACTATGTTTTAACTTGGTCATGCATTCCATGTTTTCAATCATGTCCCTTTATTTTCATGTGTTTATCTTTTATTGCATTCCTCTGATCATACTTGGTACATTCCATGCACTAACGCAAACCCTTGCCTACATTATTTCACTAATGTAGGGTCCGACGCTCCTATTCCGCATCCTCGAGGCTAGTGTTCACTTTAGTGGATTGACTGTATTCGAAGATTGGTGAGTCCTCATGTTCCGAGGACCTTTTATTGCTTATCATCTTTACTTTGATATTGTATGTGAGCATGGGTTACGTCCAAATCACTCTTGATGTAATAGATGGCTTTGAGACTATTTAAACTTCCGCTTCGTTTTTGACAAACTCTTTATGATATAAACTGTTTTTTGAACTATTTAATTCCATTATATTGTTTATGAATGCTAAGTGGTTTGTGTAGGGCCTCTCGGAATCTTATACGACATGTCACGTCTAGAATGTACTTTGGGTCGTGACATAAATCCGGTAAGTACATATTTAACGAGATTATTTATGATATTTTCTCTAGACTAAAGACTAAACACACCCTTCGTCTTCAACACCCAACTTCATATATATTACATGTAAAATGAAACGCCTAAACTCATTAAAAATGGGAAGTTCTTGGAAGTCTGGACAGGATTGATCACTCACTGACTGGGATTCATCGGGCGAGAGATATGGAAGCGCTAATAGCCTCATACGCAGACGATTCTTCTGACTCCGATTCCGACTCCAATCCCACCCCTCCACAGCCGCCGTCAGCTTCGACATCACTGGCCCCTCTTCCCCCGCCTCCTATTTCACTTCTTCAACCGCCCAACTGTTTTGGTAACTTTATTTTTCATCAAACCCGGAAATATCTATAGAAGACGAATTATGCTCACTAAATGTTTGCTTTTTTGCTTCTGCAGTTCCCTTGGACTCCTTGCCTAGTAGTCAAGTCAATCGCGTTCGAAGCTTTCCTCACATTGAAGGCAATTATGCTTTACATGTCTACATCCCAGGTAATTTCTTCTATCTCCCTTATGTTCATGCCATTTTATGCTTTGTTCTCTAATTTTGTTTTTGAGAATTGGTAAAGAGCATAATAACTCAATTCTGCAAAATCATTATTAGTCGTTAAAAGGTAGGTTTAGAGCAAGATCATTTGCAAATTGCATTTAGTAACAGAATTAGGATGGTTTAAGACACAATTTTTTAAATCGAAAAGAGACAAATCAAACGGTCCTTATTTAATCAAGTATGATATTGGCAATATGATTCAAAATCGAATCTTTTTGTCATATTTTTGTTGGTCAGTTTATTGGAAGGTTGTTATAAAACATTTTTTTCGTAATGTTTATTTATATTTTCTTTTACTTCTAGTTTATATACCATCTGCAACAAGGAAGGGGCTGGCCAGTTTTCTGAAGAAGGTCACAGCTATTGTACCTACTCTACATGCTGTGGATGTTGATGTACCATTGAGTGGTTTGTTGAAAGATGAAGCACTGCTTGAAAAAGTGGTGTTGGGTAGAGAGTTTCACATTAGTTTGGGAAGAACTGTTCCTCTCCGCGTGCATCAGATTAATTCCGTGGTCTCCATGCTTCGACAGAGGCTTCAGTTTCAGAGGAGGTGAGGTGACTTTAGTGATATGCATGCTATCTCTGATTTTGATTTGAGCAAAACAAAACCTGTTGTTGCTTTGTTAATTGTTGTCTATTAATGGACATAGGTATTTGATAGATTTTAACAAATGGGAGATCTTTGTCAATGATGATTCAACTCGCACATTCATGTCACTGGAAGTTGTAGAAGGAGGCTTAGAACAGGTATGAAAAATGCCATTTCTTTAGTACTTGTTGGTAACATGGTTTGCTGTTTTGGCTTGTGTTCACTTCTAGCTGAACTCCGAAGAATGTTTGAAGTCATAAGTATGCTCCTCATATAGAAGCTAGTTGTTGGTACATCTTTAAGGTCCCTTAATATAAAATAGATATCAAGGCACATGCTTGTGTGTGCCAAATTCAATTTTCCCAGATTTAAGAGCTAATGGAAAGTAATGTAACTTGAGAAAAAGAGAATATGAGATAGTTGTAGAAAAGGGAGTGTCAAGAGATGGAAAAATTTACCTTAGTGACCAGTATATCCTTCTGTTTCCTCATTAGTGAGTTGGTTATAACGATGTCTAAGAGAAAAGTTTACAACAGGCTTGTCCCTAGGGCTTTGGTTTAGTGGTAAGAGCACAACTTGTGATGTGTAGTATACGCGCATATTACGAGCTCAAACTCTGTTGCAGACAAAAACTTGGTATTTAAGTGGAGAAGGGTCGAGGGGAGGGCCCATTATTCATCGAGTTTAGAACTGTGCACCACTGGTCTGCGGGGTTTTGTCGGCTATCCGCCCAAAAAAGAAATGAATTACAACAGGATTCACCATTTGAGTTGCTATCCCATATTTAATGGTGGTAGATAAATATTCCATGCTGTGTGTTCTGAATTATATGAGCTCTTATGGTGTCTTTCATTTTCGAGAGAGATATGTCAATGCGAATGGAAGCTGCCTCCATGGTCAACCGTAAGGACTGGGAATGTGTTGAATTGGTAGGTGTATGTGTTGTATCAATCAAGTTGATATTCATGGTTAATCTAGGGAAATATAAACTAGAAGTACAGTCGTACAGCTAAAGAAGGTTATCTCCCTCTGTCTGGGTAATTGGATTGGAGTTGCTGCTTATGTGTATTGTCATATCCTCCTCTTCCCACTGCCTCAGTCATCTACTATAAGGTCTGTGTATTGTATCTTTTTCTCATAGGGCCAGTATATCCATAAGCTTCTCATTACCGGTGGGGTTCAAATAGATTTGTAAGAATGTTCACAACTGATATTATTTGTTGTGTTCACAAACATTAAAAACTGAAACTAAAATTAACATCTTTAAAAAAAATTAGCTTATGTGAAAATTTCAGAAGACTGAATGTTTTTTTTTTTTTTTGAGAAGGGTAGCAGTAAGTAGACTATGGGAATATTAACACCTAGAATCCGAGATATGACAAAATCCTATTAAATCTTGGCACAAACTTAATGAAGCATCAAGACTAAATGTCCTTTACATTTAGGAATGTGTTTGACATATTCTGGACAAGGAAGCCGGTGCACAAAGCATCCCGCGTTATCAGAGTCTGGGAATCAGCCACTTATTCTGGAGAAACTGAAGATATATTGATTTAACCAGAAATGCCCATTAACAAAAAGAATAAAGAAGTAAAGGTCACCCATTGAGCCAAGTACACATTTTTTTTCTTCTGAATAAAGCTATTCAAAACAACATATGCAATATGAAAATCAAAATCAAGAGTGACTACTCGTGTCAAGTTGCAACGTGATTAGCCAACGTTTCTTTTATATAAGAGCCTCTTTGGATTGACTTATTTTAGGGGCTTTAAGCAGTTTTGTAGTGTTTGGGTAAAATAAATAAGTGTTTTTAAGCCCAAAAACCATAAGCTAGAAATCCTAACTTATGAGTTTTGGCTTATAATAAGTTATAAGCCCATTTAAACAAGCTCTAAGTAGAGATTGAGAAAAGGAATGGATGATGTCTTCATGGCAGACAAATATAATTGGTAGGCCAACAAGTTTAGGGAGGAGGATGACAAATAGTTGATCTCTTTAGCAACCCAAGAATGTGGTCTAGTGGTTAATGAGTTCTTTTTTTTGTGTGTGTGGTGAGGGTGGGATATCATCAGGTCTCAGGTGAGACAAACATACTAGGTAATTTCTTCCCATTGGCTCAAGCCTTGGTGGGTAGTGTTACCCAATACTTATGCGGGTGGGAGGTAGTAGTGCATGCCATTCCAGACCTCACAGTCATAAAAAGGTTAATATCTTTATGAAAGTCACCGTAATAGGTTGGCCAACAAGTTTCGGTGGATAATACATTAATTTTTGTTACCAGTAGAAACCCATCAATTTTTGTTATTTTATGTGGATTTTAACCAAAATAAGGAGTAAGTTAGAAGCGGGATGCAGTGCCAGGTTCTTAAGTGAATGGATAATTTGAAAACTAGATCAGAACAGGGGTTTCCCCTAAAGCTAATGGTGGCATGATCGCAGGGCATGCCTGGCTCTGCGCACTGAAAGAAAACTCCTTGTGCAAGCGTATCCATTTCATTACAATCAAAATTTACATTGTGGGGTTATTAGAGGTTTTGGTGGTTCCTATTGTTGACATTTAATCTTTAGGTGTGTTTCTGGTTATTGTCTGCTTTAATTTTGATCAACTAATTCTCTACAGTGGTTAGTTAATGCTCATCTTTCGCATGTGTTTCAATTATGGAACAATGAGTTTGAACTAAGCTCTCTACTATTTTCCTCTCTGGCATCATTCATGTCAATTTAGATAAAAGCTTATTGTTCTTCCTTGTCCTCCCGTGTCTTGCTAATATAGTTCATCGTTGAGGCAAGAGAGGAAACTTACTTGTATTTTGTGTCCCTCAGATAAGAAAGCAAATCCAAGCTGTTGATGAAGTCTACAAACTACATAACCTTCCGGAATTTTACAAGGTTGACCACATGAACTATGTTTAATTTTTTGCAAGTTTCAATAGTGTGTTTGGTATGTAGGAAAACATTTTCCAGGAAGTGTTTTCCAATTTTCTCATGTTTTGTTGGTCAAATATTTTCTCTGGGAAAACAAGCTCCTTGAAAATTACCTAATGAAAATAGGAAAAACAAGTTTCATAAGTGACATTCCAAGTTCATTCCCCCCCCCCCCTCGAACCCTCATTCCCTACCCCATCCCACCCACCCACGTAATGTTTTGCTAGATTACATATAAATGCTCTTGGGATAAAATTTTTTGCTTACTTACTAAATACTAGAAAATAAGTAAAAAAAACTCATTTTCCAACAAAACATTTTGCATGAAAAATATTTTCCTTCATACCAAACACACCCAGCCACAGTCAAATCAATGCTTCTTCTTCAAGTGAAGAATTAAAAATTACTTGGATTTGGTGGCAGGATCCACGCCCTCACATCTCAATAACTTGGGCATTGGGGAATATCAGGGACACCCTGAAGAGAATGGTGGAAGAAGAGATGAAGAAATACGAAGTGGGTTCAAGTTCACGGCAGAAATGTATTTTCACAAGCAAATTCACTGGCATTTTGTGCAAAATAGGCAACAAGATGCATGAAATCTGCAAGTTTCAGGAAGAATAACAATTGTTTATAGATTCCTAGTTAACCTTTTCGACTATGCATCTCCCAGAAGGCTAATTAGAAGGACTTGTTATTGTAAAAAGTCGAACTGAGCAAAAAGGAAAAAGGCAACGATTGTTGATAGGTTTGTCGTTTCAATGAAGATAACAAGAGAGAGGCTCACTCTGTTCTAGAATCTCTGTCCAATATGAGCTGAAAGAAGATAACAAGTGATGAGTGCATATTCCAGGTCCCAGCATATCAATGATGTACTAACTCGTAAAAAGGTTCGACTTGTCTAATTTTATGAGTTCTATTAGATTCATCATTTGAGAAAAAAATTATGTGAGTGAGCCCTTAAAATGTTATTTATGTTCTATTAGATGCATTTTGGACAAACTTTAAGCTACATAAATGAAATGATCTATATCTCTATTTATGAAAAGATGAAAAAACAATTCCATCTTGGATACCTTTCAACAATAGTACCTGGATGTTACCTGGAAAAAAATCATTTAAGTTCATGAAAATTCTATTTTCTGGTCAATAGTACCTGGGTGTCTTGAAGAATAAAGTCATTTAATATTATCAGTAATTTCCTTCATCAATTGGTCTATGTTACTCAAATTTTCCCTCAAAAAAGAAATATCATCTTTGCTAACATTCCATATTATATGGCATTCAATTCAATTTCTTATCACCCTTCTCTTACACAGAATGTGTGATTGACCGACTCTACCTCTATTCTTTATTTAGGATGTGAACTCTTTTGTAGTAGTTTATTTCTTTCTTCCTCTTTTTTACAGAGGTAGCAATTATAAGGCGGGGAAAAACAAACTGAGACGCGCGTGATAGTAATACAAGCATAATGAATTTAGACTTGGCACGATATTAGATTCTATTAACCCTTTGGGTGGTCCAGTGGTTTGGACTTGGTACTTCCATGTTGGAGGTCTCAAGTTCGAAACCCCTTGCCTGTGGAAACAAGGGGTTTGCCTTCTGGATCTAGCTCGTTGCATCGGGATTGCCTAGTGCGGGTTACCTTTCCTGTGTGGTTTGCGAGCTATTACATATGCAGGGGTTTACCCTGTGCGCACCCAAAGGATCGGGATTGCGGGTTTCCGTTGTCATAAAAAAAAACATATTTAATATAGAAGATTTATTATGACTTTGTGAGAAAAACAAAAAAAGTAGATAAAAACTAGGACCTAATACAGAAGATGTAGGATTACTGCTTTGTTTGACAGAAAAAAAGTGGATAAAAAACTAGGACCTGCACATGGGTTCTAAGTTGTAACATGTTTTAGAACGTAAGATGTTCAGATATTTCCAAGTACATCAATCCAGAATGAATTCATATCGAATTGGTCGAAGGAGTTAACAGCAGAACCATGGGGAATGGAATATGGCTGGGCAACACCAATATTTGTACATGTGTTTTCCATGTCGGAGACTTGTTGATCGACAACAAGTGAAGTAACGTTGTTATAACAATCTTCAAAAGTTTGTGAGAAATTCACAAAAGGATCCATCATTTGGTTTCCTTCACATGTAATAGTGCTGCTGCAGGGTGAACAAACACCTGTTGTTAATGAACTGCTGTTATTGCTCGTTTCAAGCACAAGTCTTCCTCGAGTACTATTTTCCTTCTCATCTTCTTTGGTTTGTTTGCGGCTTTTCCTGGTTTTCAATGGAGCATCATGATTTTTCAGTCCAAGATGCTTCTTTAAGTGTGTGTGGAAGAAGTTTTTAACTTCGTTGTCTGTTCTTCCAGGCAATTTCGCGGCTATTGCTGACCAGCTGCATAGAAATACAAATTTAATTTGGTTTGGTTTTAACAGTATTATGTATTTAGGAGCAGGACTTTACAGAAACCTATGTTAACAAATTTGCTAACTTTCTTGTGCAGAACTCTGTTGTGTGGGGGAAAAAGAGCTTAATTCTCACCTATTTCCAAGTTCCTGATAAGTTTTGATGACAATTTCGACTTCTTCCATGGTAAAGGGTCCTCTCCTAACATCAGGGCGGAGATAATTCATCCATCGTAGTCTACAACTTTTCCCCGTTCTTGAAAGCCCTGCAACCAGACGACCAAAGTTCAGGAGACTAAGAAAACAATGAATTACAACAAAAGAGTTGCATAAGTTCCACCCCCTCTCTTGGAGCTCCTACTTTTTTGCTCCCTTAATGACTCGAAGCCACAAACTTAGGGTTGGAGGTGGATGGTGCTTATCATCTAAGCAACCCCTCTTGTCGCTACATAAGTTATTGCTAGAAAGTATTGAATGAAAATATGATCATTCGAAATCTGAAATGAAAATACTATTAGTATGGTTTTATTGGCGTAACCTGCAAATTTGGGCATCTGTTTCCAATTCCAGATGCCATATTTCATGATATAACCTCTCAGTTTTTGGTCTTCCTCTGGAGACCATGCCCCCTTCTTTATGATCTCCTCCATGCTTGTACCTTTCTGCTGCTGTTGTTGTACTCTTGGCATGATTAATGCAGATAAGTAGGATTATTTTGAAGTTCAAGTCACCTGCTTTAGTACTTGGATTGTTTCAGAGCTCTTTCAGAAAAGAAAGAAAAACCTTGTGGTTTATATAGTTATTTTTGCCATCCATTATACATGGATCTGTTCTTTATTCAATATACCTCATTTCCAAGAAAGAGTAGACTTTCCACAACGACTTCATTGTTTTGTCTTGTTACTCATTCTTAATTGTCTTTTCATGATTTTTAAAAATCAATTCTTTGAAGGAGGAGTTAAGTGGGAATGGACGAAGAGCAACTCAACATGGGAGAGATTTTTTCATGTCTAATTGAGTGTCATGATTTAGTTGGATGCAAAAATTGCATAGCTTAAACTTAACTTTTTTTTGTCCCAAGTAACTTGGAGAAATGAGTAAAGGGTGTTAAATAAGTTTTTAAATTAAAATGGTGATAACTCTCATAGCAAAGGTTAAAGACTCACTTAATTTATGATTTAATTAAATGAGGTGTGAAATGTAATACTTCACTCAAACAACTCACGGTGGTGAGTGGTTAGGGTTTTGATTTTTCAAAGTAAAAATAGTGATTTAGGTTAAAGAAGAAGAAGAACATGAGTTTCACATATTTTGTTATTGTATACCTTGATAAATAACGTATTTGTTGTTGTTGTTGTAGTGTGTATACTTAAATATATGCATCACAGGTGAGAAAGAGAAAAAATTGTTGTTGTCATTGTACTCGTTATTGTCATGATGTATGAAATAAAAATTGAGTCTGCAACTATTTGATATTTTCCAAACAGCTGAGATAACTACTAGAAATAGAGGTTTTTTTCGCTGCGAATAAATGAAAAATTTGTATTATTAGAATGTGATTTTTTCATCCATTTTTTTGTCAAACCAATTCACTGGAAAAATGCACGGTGAGAAATAATTTCTCGCTAAAATATTAGGAAGTTTCCAAGATTTTTCATGTGAAAACACTGATTCAATCTTTGAAAATAATCACCGAACATTTTTAAGTGAAAATTTTCAATAAAAAATAACAATTTTTTCGATGGTGTTAATGATTATACATATGTAATTTTTTAAATTTTAAATTAGTTCCACTTTTTTATTTATATTAGTCCTTGAACTTTCTTGTTTAGACAAAATTCAAATAAACTTCATTCGTAATACACATTACATATTTGTTATGAATAAAACAAATTTATGATTTAAACCAAATACATGTTATTTATCGGTGATTTGCTTTCTCACCAATAAATAATTATTGAATAAATTGCACATAGTAATTTTTAATAAATTTAATTGAAAGAGATATTTATTTTTAAATGGAGGCAGTAACTATTTTATTATCCCACAAGAAAGGAGAAAGAAATCTAGATAGTGAAAGTGCAAAGAGCTGATGTCAATTTTGTGATGTTAAAACATTGGGAATATTAATTCAACAAATTGGTTAAAGTGTTTCGATTCTTTTTGTTATTTTAATGTTATAGAGCACGAGGTTCGTTGAGTACAACCTAATCATTTTCTTAATTTCTAATTTGACCCTACTACCGCGTTGAAATTACTTATCTTATGAAGTTACATTAATTATATTGTTATTGTTGTTTGTCGTGTTGTCACTAATTTCGTGATCATAGTAGTTCTATATTTTGTGTCGAAATAAAAAAAATAAAAAAATTCAGTCCCTATAATTAAAATATTATCACTATTTACTACGTTGAATTTTCTTACTTGTGTCTACAAGTCGAAGGCTACAACTTACTTGAAGTATATTATTAATCCTACAAAGGGCATCCTTTAATTGAGCTCTTCAACGATTAAAATTATATTTGCTTCTATATATACATAACAATATTTTATTTTTGATGAAGATATATTGATTATGCAAATTAAAGGATTAAACTTATATTTGCTCCTGTATATACATAATAATATTTTATTTTTTGATGAAGATATATTGATGATGCAATTAATGGGCCTGTTTGGATTGACTTTTGGCTTATGATTTATAAGTCAAAAGCCATAAGCTAGGATTCCTAGCTTATGACTTTTGACTTATTTTTGTTATTTTGGCTTTAAAATAAGTGCTTATAAGCATTTTTTAACTTTACCCAAATACTTCAAAACTGCTTAAAAACTATTTTGGCTTAAAAACACCTAAAATAAGCCAATCCAAACGGGCACAAATCATGTTTACCAACATATCTAATTGAAATTGATTTGGATGTCTAGAGCCACAAATGGTCAAGCTATATGCTTCCAACTAGTACACGACATGTTCATTTTTATTTATTTATACAATTTTAATAGATAAATTTGAGCATGTTCTTCGATGATTAAAACATATTCGAGATCATATTTAAATAGAGGGAAATTTTGTTCTATTTTTCATGGTTAATGGAGCAAATTTGAGCCATTTGACGACAACGACATATTTTAGAACCAAACTTAAATGGAGGACAAAATTATTCTATTTTTTATAGTTAAAGTATATTTTTGATTTAAAATTTGAAACTAAATATATGAAAAAGGGTCAAAAATGTTCTTGAGCTATGTGAAATCAAACAAAAATATCCTCAGTTAATAGTTTGGTCTAAAAATGTCTCTATCATCAATAGTTTGATCCAAAAATACCTTCACAGTTCACGCTAATATTTGATTCAAAAAAATACCACAATCACTAATAATTTGATCAAAAAATATCTCTATTATTACTTGTCAAAATTATATTTCCTTATCAACAAAGACTGAGTTTACTCAAAATTCGTCCCTCGTGTTTGAAGACCATTTTGGAAAAGGATTAATGGATGACTTTCTTTTTAAACGATGCAAGTAGCGTGCATGTTCCTAGTCAATTAAGAAAAAAAAAATATCTTTTAAAAATAACGATGATTAATATGTTAATCATG